GTCGATGTGTCTCTCTCACACTGATGTTTCTCTCTCTCTCTCTCCCTCTCACTCTAAAACAATCAAAGGAAAATATCCTCAGGTGAAAATTAACAAAGGACTATATTTAAAAATATATATTTTTGTATTATATTTAAGCCCTATCTTAAGTTTTTTTACATAGTTTTCTCATTTAATCCTCATAAGGTAGGTGCTATTCCTTCCATTTTACAGATGAAGAAACTGAGATTTCGTTCGGTTAAGTGTTGTGTACAAGGCCACACAGCTGGTACCTGGTAGGGCTGGTGTTGAAATCCAGGTCTGCTAGACCGGGCTCCATGCCCTCAACCACTTCACCTGCATTTCTGCCCGTGTGATCACTGCACCCTGGGTGTGCTTGTTCAGTGTAGACTCCCAGATCCCACTCTCCGGACCCACTGACTCAGATGAGAGCCACTTGCTTCTGCATCTCATTTTTTTCTGTGGTGCTTTGCGGAAGGCCAGAGGGAATCACTGAACTTGCTGTCAACTTGAAGGGTCCCTCCTCACTGAAACCTGGTGTTTACCTCTCTCTCAGAGTGTGTTTTAGGTCCGAGAAGTGCCTCAGTTCTGAAAAGTGGCAAAGGATCTGGCCTCTTTTAGCCTCCTCATCACCCATAATTGTGTTTTGACTTTGCTTGTTTTTGTGTTTTAAATCCAGCACTCTCACCCTGGCCAGTTTGGCTCGGCGGCAGAGTGTCAGCCTGCAGACCAATGAGACCCAGCTTCAATTCAGACAAAGGGCACGCACCTCAGTGCAGTTCCTCCCGGGCCCTGGTCTGAGTCACGCGGGAGGCAAATCAGTCAATGTGTCTCCCTCACATCGATGTTTCTCTGTCTCTCTCTCCCTGTTTTCCCTCCTACTCTATTTAAAGATGAACGGAAAAACATCCTCAGGTGGGGATTAAAAAATAATAATAATAATAAATAAGTCCAGCACTCTCTGGATTGGCTGTCCCTCTATTTCACTTATAGAACCACTGTGTGCTATGAGCCAAAGGGGCAGTGTTCTGTGGGCAAGGCCCGTTGTTGGCATTGCAGCCTTTCGGATCGTTCCAATAAGGGCACTCTGCTGGCTGTGACGGGACAGCCTATATCTCAATGCATTGCTTCAGGGTTTTCATCTCCATTACTCCCGGCAGCCAGTTTCTGGAATGTCACGTCCACTTGCCAATCCCTGCCGTCAGAGATGCCAGCCTGAGACTCCTGACAATGGTGTCGCTCGTCTCACTCCTGGGGAGGAAGAAGTTTTCTTCTACCCTTCTAGGTTCTTCTGGCTGGTCTAATAGTTCAACTAACATGAGGTAGATTAATAAATTTTAAAAAAGCAATTTTAATGTGGTACCTATGGAAAGTCATAGAAATATGAGACTCTATAGTGATCAAAGTAGGTGGACTTTATACCTTTTATTTTTTATTTTTTTAATCCTCACCCTAGGATATTTTCTATTTATCTTCAGACAGAGTGGGAGGGAGGGACAGAGAGAAAAACATCGGCGTGAGAGGGACACATAGACTAGTTGCCTTCTGCACAAGTTGAACCGCAACCGAAGGATGTGCCCTTTACCAAAATCAAAGCTGCAACTCATTGCTCAGTGGGACAACGCTCTAACCATTGAGCCAAACCAGCCAGGGACAGACTTCATACCTTTTAAACAAAGGTATCATAAATTTGTGAAGAATTGACTAAGGCGTTTGGGCTTATATTAGTAAACTACAAATGAAGTAAGAAGTTTTGTTCATATAGCCTTGTTAGACCTAAAATCCCTCTCTCTGGTGCTGAGAATGTCTCTCCACCTCCTGAAACAGGAAGAGTCCTCTTCACATGGGAGATGTATTTCCTGCTTTTAGAGGGAAAAGGTAGGGTCAGAACATCCTTTTTGCACCAACAGTTTCTTAAGTAACTTTAATTCTAAATAATCAACCTGCCAACGTGGCGCATTTGGAGATGGCCTGCCTTGAACCCCATCGTCACCCTGCATTCTCTATGAGTTCGCTAACAAAGAGTCCTTCAGGCTTTCCCTTGAGCATAGTTGATGAACCTTTTCTGGTTCCTCTGTCTGTTCATGTTTGTCCATTCTGACACGTGTATTTCTCTGAGTCTTTAATCCCTCCCTGTAGTATCTGTGTTGGAAGCTCCTAATACTCTCCCATGCAGTACAGCCATCCCTTTCCCCAAACTCCCAACACCCATCCTAGGAGCAGGTGGGCACCATCTCCCAGGGCCATGCTGAATCCTGTGACCTGCAGTTGCCAACTCCCCTTCTCCAACATTGGCCCATCTAACCCTGCCCACCTCATGCAGCTTCCTCAGAAGCAGCCCCTACACACTCTAGCTTCTCCACAAGGGCGTGGGGCTGGTTTCTGACAGTTCTCGGGCATCCAGACCGTTTACCCCAGCCAGTCTGACACATCTCTGGAGTGCTTATGGGCTGAGTGATGCCGGGTATTGGGCTGGTGGACAGAGGGGGACATAGCTGGAGATGTTTGGTTTTCTGCCAAACAGAGGCCTCCTGGTCCTCCTCAAGCAAGGGAAGGACACTAGCCTTCACCTGGTGATGCGAGGGACCGGGCAGGGTCATTTCTTGCTTGGTCAGCCAAGCCATCAGGAGTATTCACTTGCTGTCACAGACATGGAGGAGAGGTGCTTATGGGCACGTTTCTTCCAACCCAAACTTCATCTGCATTTTTTCTTCAAAGGTGCTATCTCTCTTGACTATAAATTCATCATCACTCCCTGTGAACAACTGTGGTGTGAAATTCAAGGCCAGGTCAATGAAAACACATTTTTTAATTATACCTGTTATAGCAAAAAAGTCAAACTCATCAGTGATCAGGAGATGATGGACAATGCCACACAGGCCTGGAATCAGCAGAGAGACACTCTGAAATATGTGATGAAAGAGCTCAAAATGAAATTGCTTGACATTAACGTAGAGATTATTAAAACTACTGGTAAGTTTGCAAGGCCTAGGATACAAGTAGAACAGTGTTGTAGGGATAGGGAACAACTGTGTTTATGTAAATATTGGTATGTTGTTCCCACCCAGGAGGCCCAGCATCCAGGGTAGGACACAGAGGACAGAGAGGACCAGGAGACAGGAGGGCAGCAGATGGCTGGATACCAGGAAGAGACAAAGTATCTGTCAAGACCAGAGGCTGACCTCTTTCCGTGGGGGGTGGGAACAGATCCTCTCTCCCTATAGGGCAACATGACGTGTAAGCAGGAAACTAATGAATGCTACAGTGCATCCTGGGAGTTTGGATTCAATGGAAAGATACTCTCCACTTAGACTCCGAGAGCAGAAGCTGGACAGTGCTGTGTGGCAGAAGAAGACTGTTTAAGAAGACATTGGCGAGTAACAGAGTTATGACCAATCTTCTTGTTAGGACCTCAACTGGAGACCGTAGAGAGTGGCTTAAACAAGTTTTGTGTCCCCAGAGCATCACTAGTGCACAGCACAAAGCTTGAGATCTGTTGATGGAATCTGAGAAATGGCGCTTCCCTGCGGACACTTTCGGCTGAAGGGCTCCTCAAAGGAACATGGCCTCAGGCAGCACTTCTGTCTGGGGAAAGCTGTGACACTCCCCCCTACCCCCCAGCTCTTACCCTGATGCCAGACAATTCACTTCCTCCCCATATGCCTCTGGAGCCTCTCAAGCTGCTGCCCAGTGCTGGAGCTCAGAGGGAGTGAGTCCAAGGAAGTCCATGCACTGGCCCTTTAAAAAAAACTGCCTGGGAGCCCAGTAGCCCTCGGTGTCCCTCAGCCTCAAACCCCCTTGGTTTTTACCGACAGAAGTTGTGGGGACTTCTCTTCCTGGCACTGGAACCCTGGGCCAGGGGGCCTGATGTGGAGCTGGGACACCTTGCTCCACAGGAGTTACCTCTGCAACCGGGATTTCCCTCCAAGTTTACATCCACCACACAGGGATGTGGGACCAGCTCGGTCTCTGTCCACCCTTTCTATGTCTCGATGTAGCTTCTTCTTTAATTTCCTGGTTGTAGGACTTCTCTTCAGCCAGATTTCAGGCAGTTCTACATGATGGTTATTCTGTAGTTTAGTTGTACTTTGATGCGCTTGTGGGAGAAGGTGAGTCACTGCTATATCTTGACCAGAAGTGAAGATTAATTACTTGACAGTCAATTTAAAAATGACCTTTACATGGAGGGACCTCGACAGTATTATGCTAAGTGAAATAGGCCAATCAGAGAAAGACAAATACCACATGATCTCACTTATTTGTGGAATATAATGAACAAAATAAGCTGATGAACAAAATAGACCCAGAGACACAGTAAGGAGTATGGTTCAAACTGACAGACCTCAGAGGAGGGGGGCGAGGAGTGAGGATGAGATAAACCAAAGAACTTACATGCATGTATGTGTAACCAATGGACATAAACAACAATGCTAGAGGGGAGGATGGGATGGGGAGGAGAGTGTGTAGGGGGAAAGGGAAACATCTGTAACAAAAACAAATTAATAAAAATTGAAAAAAAAAATGAATGACCTTTAGATTCTGTTTCAAGTATAATCTACCAGAATCCGTTTCTCTTTACTTCCTGGCCTGGAGGAATGATGATTGCCTAAAATTCTATAGGTTATAAAATAAAATTACTAAGTAATAGTTTATTAAATGACAGAGATATAAATTAAATAAAATTACAGAGTGAAAAATTCTTAAGTATCATAAATATAATTTTTTTCTTTTAAATAATCATGAGGTTTGACCAGAACATAGAAAAATGCCCTGAGGTTCTTAACTCTCACTTGGTGTTTTACCACCAATATAATTTGCAAGAACAAGGTCCTGATACAGAGATCATCTCATTTTCCACGACCAAAGGGGAAGATGGAAAATGTTCTCTTTGAAGGGATTTCTCGCTCCAGTGGTTAGAAGACTAAGTGCAAGAACTGCAACACCTGGCACCAAGGTAAAATGGAACCAAATGTTGGTAAAGTGCAGCAGTGACATGTCCCTCAAGCAATAAAGGACATGGGTATAGCATCTGCCGTGTCCTCAGGATCTTCCGGAGGTCTCTGCATTTGCTGTAAGGACTGAAGCTCCTGGAGCTCAGCAGGTGAACAGCTGGACACGGAAGGACAGCCAACCAGAAGGAGCAGGTGTTGAACTAGACCACACTCTGGAGCTTCTGAGCAGCATCTTCTGCCATCGGAAAAGAAACATGTGTTTGTCGCAGTAGCTGAGGAAATCTGGGATCAGTTCCCTGGGGGTCATGGACCCCAATCACACCAATCTAAGAGCCCCACCCTCGCTGAGATGCACATAGTTCCCATCAATTCTCACTACCACCCTAGGTCCTCCCCTCCTTTACCACATGACAGTCAGCCTCAAGTCCCGTGAATGAGAGGTGGGCTCAGGACTCAAGGTGCACATGAATTGTTCTGCTCCCAGCACTGAAGTCCTGATTCTAAAGGCCCCATGAGGAGCCCTGTCCAAAGCCAGGGGCCTGCATCCTGCTTCCTCTCCCACTGGGGAGGGTTTCAGACAAACATCCTTGTTTCCCCTCCCCTCTCCTGCCCTCCTCACCCTGGTCACAGCACACCACTCTGACAGTGACTGTCCCTGCCCTGCCCCATCCATCCCTGCTCCAGTCAGTGGTCAGCATCCAACTCCACCAGCAGCTCAGCCCCACCCAGCTCCCCAGCCACCTCTGCCTGAGGCACAGGCTGCTCTGTGGCTCCAGATGTGCAGTTGTCAGGATTCTGGCTACCAGGTGACTGCACCAGGGCTCGGCCAGGAATCCCAGGGGTTCACTGAGAACTGGGTTCCTCTAACCTTGTCCTGCACAGGCCCCACAGTTAGCCCGCTGCCTTACCTGATGTCACTGAAGCAAATTTCCATGGAAACACAGCCGTGAACTCCAGCCTTGTGAGTTGGGGCTGAAAGGCCTTCCTCCCCTCTTCCTGGGTGAGACCAGGCCCCTCTCCTCTTAGTCCCCTGGCTATTCCCCTGACCCTGAACACCTCACATGGAGCCGCCATGCTGCTCCCACCTGAGTGTGAGTACTGCCCATGCGCTGTGAGCCTGCTGGCCCCACCCACCCACACTGGGCCCACAGACTCTCCCAGCAGGGAGTCTGAGCCCGCACTGAAATCACTGAACCCCTTCAGCACCAACAGGCCTCAAGCCTTGGGGGCCCTCCTTTCCCACTGGCAGTCACAGTGAGGACACAGCAGGTCTCAGCTGAGCCTGTCAAGTTACGGCTATGAAGCGACGCAACGTGTTCGTCTCCTGGTCTAATTTCCAGGAGGAGAGAGTTCAGTGAGGGGTCAGGGGATGGTCTGGGAATCCACTTTTCTCTGTCCTCGCTCAGGCCACCTGCCCCTCACTGCCCACCCAGTTCAGCCCTCAGTACCTGTTACTGCGAAGGAACCGGCGTAAGAAGAAAATTAAAACCAAGACAAGCACAACGGCAAAGATGACGCTGGTGGTTATGATTGTCACTTGGGTCTGGGCTGGTGCACCTGTGACTGTGCTTGGTGTGGCTGTGGTTGGAGCCGTGATTGGTGCACCTGCAATGGAAACACAAGCGGGACATTGTGCGAAGAACCCAAATTGAGGAGACTCCCTCCCGAGCCCTTGCTGCCCCAGGTTCTCCTACAATGCAGACAGTTTCTACCCCCTACATGTGGCAGCCACGGTGACAGATCCTGGTGGAGCAAAGAGGAGATGAGCCCTGCCCCCTTGGGGCTGACACAGCTAATGGGGGCAGCAAGTGTTAAATGTACCCTGTCACTCCTGCTGTGACAGAAGAGAAGGAGACACATGAGGAAGGCAGCAGAGAATTCCCCAGGAACTGATTCAAGGTGGTATTGAAGGGTTTCCAAAAGAGACAAACAAGAAAAGTGATGCTGGGAGGGCAGAACAGTGAAGCCACAGGTGTGAGAACAGAACGATGCCCTCATGTGTGGTCAGCAAGAATCCACGGTGAGTGTGCACGGTTATGTGCAGTGAGGAAGAGACGGGACGATGGAGGGATGGCAGGACCACCGCTGGTCGTTATTCTCCCAGGAACTCACTGCCATGAATCACTTTTTCCTACATGCACTCACCCACACGTTCACACACATGTTCACACACACACACATACACTCACACTCATTCACTCAAGGGCACGTCAATCTTATCTCAAGGTAATGACTTCTCCATCCCTGTCTTCCCTGTTACCTGCTGTCCCCAGCTCCTTCTTCCATGGCACCAAGTATTGAAGCCATTTCTTGCAGTCTCCCTTTAAGGTAATTTTGAGTTCCTGGGCCAACTTCTTGAATTCCTCCCACTTCTCTTTCAGCTGTTCGCCTCCGGAATGACCCACAGTATACTGTCCACTCTCCAGGTCAAAGACAAGGAACCTCTTTCCGTTCCATCCAAACTCCCAGGATCCACTGTAGTTTCCCCTGGTGTTGCACTGACACGTCATCCTGACCTGCAGGGTGAAAGAACCTGCCCACAGGCCCGTGGGGAAGACGTCAGCCTCCGGTCTTGTCAAATCATCACCCCACCTGGTGTGCCCTCCTCTGAACTCTTCTAATCCTTCCCTGTTCTCCCTGACCTTTCTGCTGGGCTGCATGGAGCGGTCCAACATCCACTTTTCTTTACACAAATACAATAAATATTGCTAAGCTCACAATCTGCTCGCCTCTGCACCTGGATTTTCACACTTACCTCTGTCTGCGTGTTTCTCTGCTTTAATGGCAGGCAGGTGCTCTTTGATCGAGTTCCCTATGTCCCTCAGCTTAGTAGTCTGTTCTCTCCAGGTTTCTGTGGTCACTACCTCCTCTCTCAGGAGATTCATAGATATGACCTCATTACTGCCACAGTCATAAGAAAAAAAATTCTTTCCATCCATCTGGACTTGAGTCATACACCAAGGTTTTTTGTTAGAAGAAATGTTGAAATCATAGTAAACATAGTGATCATCTGTAAGAAAAATGCTGGTGAGGACTGGGGTTAAAAGAAAAGGACCCAAAACACCCCCTCCCCCATCTCTGATGGGTGGGCTGGCAGAGCAAGAATGACCCTGCCTGGCCTCTCCCTTGCTTGAGGAGGACCAGGAGGCCTGGGCTGGGTAAGAAACCACACATCTCCAGATATGTCTTCTCTGTACACCAAGTCAATACCCGTCATCAGTCAGCCCATAACCCATCCAGGGACGTGCCTGGTGGCTACGGAGAAAAGGTCTAGGTGCCAGAGACTAGCCAGTGCCCTGCGGGGACATGGAGAGCATGCAGGGCTGCTCCTGAGGAAGCGGCATGAGAGTGGGGTGGGGAGGTGGACAGGCCTCCCAGCTGGAGAAGGGGAGTTTACGACTGTGGGTCATGCTCCAGCACAGCCCTGGGATGGTGCACCTGCTGCGAGGGTGGCTCTTGCAAGCCTGGAGGAAGGCGTGGCTCCAGTGCATGTGACAGAAAAGCCACAACTTCTGGAGCAGGTCGCAGAGGGAGGGATCAGGTGGCTCACAGAAGTGAATATGCCAGGAGGGATATAATATGAAAAGGCACAACGCTTTGCAATCCACCATGCTCCATGAGAAAGCCTGAACTAAACTCTGGTTTACTGAGCTGCTGAGGAAAGAACGGATGAGAAGAGCACAGAATTCTCTAAGAGCTCACTGATGACTTATGGTGCTGGGACTCCATGTTCCCCAAAAATGGCTTCCAGTAGTAAAGGGGACGGAAAAATCTGAAATAAGAAATCACAAGTACAGGAGCTCTGTGTTGGAAGCAAAAGAAGTAGGACCATCAGAATGATTAGGAAGCAGAGTCTCAACCACAGAAGGCTATAACTATGGCTCACAGAACAGGGTGATCCTAGGGGCAGCGTTGCCACCCTCTGGAAGGTTCTCGAACTGCCACCCGCACTCCAATCCTGTCCGCGAGTTGAATGTCCCCCTCCCATCTCCTTCCTCCCCTTCCCGCGTCTCCCCAAGCACCCCACTGGAGATTACATCCCGAACTCACCTCCGTGAAGCAAGGGACAGTGTGAGGCCCGGGGGCAGTCTGGCAGCACAGCCAGAACCAGGAGGACGAGGCTGAACTTGGAGCCCGCGGTCGGGACCATCGCGAGGAGCGATCCGAGCTGCCCTGCGGGGCTGACAGCGTCTGCGCGCAGATGGCCTGGGACAGAGTCTGAGACCTTGAGTCACACCGCCTTTTCCCCGCGGTTGTTTATATTCCTCACGAGGACACGGGAGAGGACACGCGATTGGACAAAAGTACTGGCAGGCAGGCAAATGAACGGGACCCAAAGAGGCGTCCCTTTGAAAGAACACCCCGCCCCGCCACGCCCACTTGGCCCCTCCGCCCCTCCCGCCCCTCCGCCCCTTCCGCCAGCACTTGGCTGAACTCCTGGACGGGGCAGGGCGGCCGGATCCAGAGGAGCCCTGCGGCAGCACAAGCGCTCTCACCACCAGCCACAAACACACCCAATACACGTCCTACAGCCCGCCCCCCCCACCACCACACCAACAGCCGAGGACAGGGGAGAGACGCCACAATACTGGCCCTTTCTGCTGACACCCCTCAAAACCACCCACCACCCTACACACTTCTAACACGCCTTTCCATTCCCAACGCTCCCCCTTCCCCACACCAGCCCACATCTGGGGAAGTCGGAACAAGAGCCCCTGGCATCCCAGGCGTCCGGACAGGAAGTGTTCCCTCAGGGTCTCTGCACACAGGCACACACATGACTCACTCCCCTACCCTGCTCCCAGGCCTGACCACAAACCCTCCGTCATCCCCACTGCTCTCCACCTTGAACTTTCTTGCCACCTCTGCTAGTGGGTTACAGAACCTGCAGCCCAGGCACTCATTTCAGACACTTTCCCTCCCCAGTTACTGCTGTCCTCCCCACGCACCCAGTTCTATTGCCCAATGCTTTGGGGTCCCAAGAACAGCAGTGCTTTCAATACCTTCCATGTGTGAAGTGACCCTAACCCCTTCCTCCACCAAGTGGCACCTTATCCCTGTTGCCTGAGGACGCACACAGCCAAAGCCTCTGCACCTGGCCCAGGGAACCTGGAGTGGAAAGCAGAGGAAGCACATGTTTCCAAACTATGACCCTGGGGAGCTGGTAGGGAAAGGCACTGTCAGTCTACCTGTGGTCCCAAACCCACATTTCCCACCTACTGAGCAGCATATGCACAGTCTGCAAACTGTTTCTATATAAAGGACAGACAGTGAATGTTACCATCTTTGCAGGCCACTTAGTATCCATCTCTGTACACACTACGCACCCCCACCTGTGTGGTGCAATAGCAGCCAAAGACAACATGCAGAGGAGTGTGGGCCAGATATGGCCACTGTGCTACTTTGCTGACCCAACATTTAAAGTATATTGGATTCACAGATATGGTGTGTCACCCCACCTGTCCACTGTGTGTTGAAAAGCCAGCCCTGTTCACTATCCTGCCTGTGGCTTCTGCATGCAGTCAATGTAGAGAATGTGGGTCCCAGAGCAATAGGACATTGCTCCTCTCCTTTCTGTAGACTGGACTCCTTGGTCCAAGAGGGCCTTTGAGATACTTCAGGAAGTCATAGATGCAACCTGAGGGTAGTGTTGGTGCAACATTTCTGGTGGTGAAGTCAGGGACATCTGTCTACATGTTATGTGTTCCCTGTGACCCTGCTCATTTCAAAGCCCAAAGAAGCACTTCTATTATATGACTGCTGGGCCCATCTGACCTAATGGCACTCATGATGGACAACTCTGACACCCCATAGCCAGAGGCCTCATCTCTGCCAGGTTTCAGTACTTCACCAGGACCCTCTTTGAATGGTGTGGCTTTTCCTGCAACAAGTGATATGATCTTGCTTCAGAACATTAGAGGGTCTGTGTTGTGATCCTCCAGTAGGAATGCCATGAAGTCCCCACAGCACTGTCCTACTACAGATTGTCTTGTATCATAGTCTGCTGGATTTCATGGACCAGGAGCAAGGTTCAGCCACATTCATCCATTCAAGTATTGTCCATCTGCTTTCGTGCTACAACAGCAGAGTTGAGTAGTTGCAACAGATTTCTGGGTCTGCAAAGCCTGAAACATTTCATATATACTTATGTTTAGAAAGCTTTCAAACCAGGCTGCTAATTAAATAGAGCTAGGAAAGGGATCACAACCCTGCATCCTTAGAGAGGGTTTAAGGCTGGTACTCTTCTCTGTTATTTCATTGAGGATCAGATACTCTTTTAACAATCTATTTAGAGGAAAGAAGAAAATGTAAGAAGGTCGTAATTGAATTTCACTACTGTGTAGCCCTCCAGCCACAAGTAATCCATTAACAAAAAAAATTTCTATTTCTGTTACAAATCCAGGGAATGTGAAATGACCACTGTGTGGATTGCTAAACCAAATGACACCACTGTGAGCAGGACCTGGGACCAGTGTCCATTCATTACCTGGGCCTCACCCCCATGCACCACTTTAATAACAGGAACAATGATCAGCCCAGCCAGTGTGGCTCAGTGGTTGAGTGTCAACCCATGCATCAAGAGGTCATCGGCCCTGGCCTGTTTGGCTCAGCAGTTGGAGTATCAGCCTGCGGACCAGAGAGTTCCGGGTTCCCGCTAAGGCCATGTACCAAAAAAAAAGAGGTCATCGGTTCTCAGGACACATGCCCAGGTTATGGGCCCAATCCCCAGTATGGGTCAGGCAGGGGGCGACCAGCCGATGTTCTCTCTCATCCATGTCTCTATGTCTCTCTCCCTCTCCCTTCTTCTCTCTTTAAAATCAATAAAGAATAATAAATCAATAAATAAAAAATAGGAACAATGATGATACTCTGGTATCTGGAAATGATGTCAACCCACACACTAGGTCCAATATGAGTGTCTGGGTAGGTTCTGCTTCCCAGTGCATACTTACTTGAGTCAATAGCCATATGGTACTTGCTGTCAACTTGAAGTGTTCCTTCTCATTTGAACCTGGCCTCTCCTTCTAGTAATGGCTCAGTTTTCGAAACTGCCAAAGGATTCATTTCTAGGGAGGCTGCTGTTAACCTCCTAATTATTTATCCTTGTGTGACGTGTCTTTGATTTTATTATTTAAATTCAGCACTCTATGTTTGCTGTCTGTCTACTTTATCCCTAGGATCACAGTGTTCTCTGACCCAAAGGGACAGCACTCTGTGGACCAGGCTCTTGGTTGGCATTCCAACCTTTCCGATCATTTCAATAGTGGGACTCTTCCTGCTTATGAGAGTTGAGTGCCTACATCCCAAATGTATTATTTCAGGATATGGTTTCTCCCCACTACTACTGGAAGCCCATTTCTGGAATACCATCTCCATCTGTCAGGCCTGCCCATCACAGACAAACATCACTGAGCTACTTGAAAATGGTGGTACCAGCCCAGCTGGTGTGGCTCAGAGGATTGAGCATCTTCCCGTGGACTGAGGAAATGGTGGTACCCTTCCCACAATCAGGAAGAAGAAGTTTTCCTCTATGCTTCTAGGTTCTTCTGACCAGTCTAATAATTAAATTAATGAGAAACAGATTCAATGAGAAAAACACATTTTAATTTGGTACATAGGGGATCTCAGAGAAATATGACACTCTGAGGTGACTAAAGTAGACAGCTTTTATATCTCTTGACAAAGAAACAATACATGTGTGAAGAATCGACAACACAAAGGAGATTGGACTTGGAGTAGTCAATTAGTAATGAAGTAACAAGGTTTGTTTATTCACCCTTCTGGGCTCTAACTTCCCTATGTCTGATGCCAAGGATGTAGCTCTACCTCCTGGTACAGGGAGCTTGTCCTGCTTTTAGGAGGACAAAGAAGGATCAGAGTGTCCTCCTTGCACCAGCTGTTCTTAAGTAACTTTAATTCAAAATGATCAATATGCCTAAGTGATACATTTTGGGGTGTGGCCAACCTTGAACACCATCATCACTGTGCACTCCTGCTCAATTCAATAAACTAAGACCTTCAGTCCTTCCCATGGAGCATGGTTGGTAAACATTCTCTGGTTGTTCTGGCTTTTCATACCCCATCCACTCTGACATATGTATTTCTTGGAGCCTTTTAATCCCATCCGACACTCTCTCCCTCCCCAGTTCCTGATTTTCTGTCCCCTGCAGTGCACCCATTTCTTTTATGAAACTCCCAAGATCCATCCTGGTGGGAGGAAGGCACCATCTTCCAGTGTCGTGCTAAAAGCCTTGACCCATAATCACCAACTCTACCCTTGTCCAACACTGGGTTCACCTCAATCAGCCACAGCCATGATCCTGCTCAGCAGCAGCCCCCCTGCCCCTTCTACCATCTTCCCACAGGGCACAGGGTAGTTTCTGACAATCCTCTGGGGGCTAGACCTTTTGCTCCTCCAGCCGGCCTGGCACATCCCTGTGTTTAACTGATGCTGGGTATTGGCCTGGTGGACAGAGGGGACATATCCGGAGATGTGTGGTTTCTTGCCAGGCAGAGACCTCCTGGTCCCCCTCAAACAACAGAGGGGCACTGGCCTTCACCTGGTGCAGGGAGAGGCTGGGCAGGGCCAGTCTTTGCTCTGCCAGCCCTGCCATCAGGGGCATTCCTTGCTGTCACAGAGATGGGGGAGAAGTACCTATGGCTCCTTTTCTTTCAATCCCAACTGTTGCCTGCATTTTTCCTTCACAGATGCTCCCTCTCTTTGCTACAACTTCAACATTACTCCTAATGGACAGCTGTGGTGTGAGTTCAAGGCCAGGCCATGGAAACACATTCCTTAATTATCCCTGTAGTAGTGAGATGGGCAAATCCGTTGGGCCTCTGGGAATGCAGATCAATGCCAGAAAGGCCTGGAGAAACAGAAGGGAACGGGAAGGACCTAATGAAACAGCTTAAAAGGAAACTGCTGGACACTGAACCAGAGACTTTCAAACTAGCAGAGAAATTGAGAGGCGCACGGCCGGTATGGAATGCATGTTGTATGGCTAAGGAGCTGTGTGTTCATGTCAATTTTGGAAGTTTATCCCACTGAGAGTACCAGCAGTGGGGACAGGGCACAGAGGACACAGCAAGACCAGGGTATAGGAGGGGAGCAGTGGAATTCTGGTTCCCATGGGCCGGCACCATCAT